AGTGTTATGAAAGAAACATTTTACTGATTCCTAAATGAAGAGGAACCAGCCATGTAATAAAGTGAGGGAAAAGCTTAGTCAGCAAAGGGACCAGCACAGGTCCTGAAATGAGAATACTCTTGGCATTTTTGTAGTCCAGAAAGGCCATCATCATTAAATCACTGTGGTGGTGGAGAGGAGTATAGGAAATAATTGAAGGGCTTGGCAAAAACTAGATCATTTGGGGTAAGAATAGTTGATAGCCTTTACAGGTTTTAAGTAGATGGGGGTCATCTGATAAGGTTTATACTTTAAAGACGATTCTAGCTGCTATGGGAAGCAATAGGGGACAATAGTGAAAGAAAGGAGACTGGTACATTGCAGTGTTACTACAGTTAGTTTTATTGAGGATATATTTTGGAAGGAGAGCCAGTAGAATTTGCTGTTGACTTAAACATGATAAATGGGGAAAGAGGAATAAGGAAGACCTCATTGCTTAAACAATAGTGATACTATTAACTGAAAGAGGGAAGATTGGAAAAGTAAATTTGGGGGTGGGTATCAGATTTTTGTATGATATGTATTAGGTTTGAGTCTATTATATATCATATTTGAGATTTTGCAGACTATACTACATAGCATTTTTATATATGAAAAAGGCACCCATTTAGATCATCAGAAACCACAACAAATCTGCTTAGAAGTTTGCTTATTAGAATTTTACCGTTACATTAATCTTTCATTATTCATTCTTTTTCTGAGTTCTCTAGTTGCACCTAAAATTTTTTAGTCATAATTGAGATGCCTGTAAAACATCCCCAGTAGGCTTCACCTTTAAAGGAAGCCTTCATTCATAATTCCGAATTTTACAGTAGTTGATTATTCACACATTGATAGTTTATTCATCTTGTGCTTGTCCCTTTTTTTGCTTTTATCAATATCTCCTGCCCTCTCTTGAGGTAATTTCATTGCTTGTAAGTGAAAGGATGTGTAATATTGTTCAGACTTGCTAATTGCTAGCATTTCTGGGAAAGGTTTGGTAGAGGAGGGTTAAAATACATGGATAAGGTGAATTTCAATGATCTATCTATCTTGTCTGCCATCATGTAGATTGAATTTGAGGGTTGATAAGAACAGATACAATTTTTTTCTGAATTCTTTAGCCTCTTACAGAAGAATCCTGTGCCTCTTACAAAGATCTAATCTTGAGCAAATGAAAAATAATCTTTGTTAGACTAATATTTCACTATATTCTTTGTTTGATAATAGTGGCTTTTTTTGAGTCATGCTTTTTTATGGACTATAAAGTGTCAATATATTGTTTTAAAGCTTTTTATATTTTATTGGTTACATATAGAAATTCTTAAAATTATGTACTGACATTTAAGATTATAAGGTTTTTATTTTGGATTTTTTTTTTTTTTTGGTGAGTTCACATAGCAAAACATTAGTGCAATGTAAACAAACATAATGTACCCATTGTTCTTCCAGTAGTGAAAAGGTTTAAACTGTTAATTTCTCTAACAATAACCAAATTTCTACAACTTAAATATTGTCAGAGGATTTAAAATTTAGCAAATTAAGTAGATACGGAATTTCCTTTGCTTACATTTGTAGAATATCTTAGGTATCCTTAGAATTATAGTTAATGTTAAGTCTGCTAAGTAAGGGACAGCAAGTGCCACTTATTTAACATGTCTTTAAAATGGCTATTTCAAAAATAACTCAGACAAATTTAGACAAATGGTGCTGCTTAGGTTAAGACACTAAAGAGGTATAGCAGGTCCTTGAATAGTCTTGTTTTGTTCAGTGTCATTATAGCATTGATGATATGCTGTAGGAACTTAACTGTTGTTTATGTCAGTTAGTCTGTGGTAAACTTGGTTTCCTTATACATCATTTCACTTAAAGTCAGAACCTATCATTGACATTAAGTGAGGACTTACTGTAATTTGGTTTTCAAATGTGTATAAATGTAAGTGTAAACATAGTTTTATTACAGCAGATTGTCGATTATTCTCAGGCATATTGGTTTATGCAGTGATGAGGAAAGACAAAAATTGCTTCGTAGGTACATCTCATGTATAGAAGTCAGGAGTTGAAATGACCAGAGTAAGAGAATATACAATATAAAACATTTTGTCATGATGCACCTCATGTAAGACCTAAATAGAATAGTTATTTTTATACTTAAAAAAAATTTGCCAAATGTTAGGAAAACATTTGTAAGGCATGTCTTTAAAATTAAAGGTATCAGATTTTATTTTGAGTTCTTGATCTATTCAGCTTAATTTCTTATTTCTATAACTATATTTTTGCATAATTTTAATTGAAGTTTTATATTCATCAAGATACGGAATTTTTCTGCAGTTTTCAAAAATGGAATCTAAACTTTCAGATACAATCATTGGAACTAAAGGTTTCAGTTAACCTTTAATTCAACATCCAGTTAAAAATGGTTTGATGGAGTTTTTCTTTAGTGATGATTTTATTACCTGGCCAGTAATCAATTATGAAAAATGAATATTTTAACTGAACTAAAATATATTTAAGAGTACAGATCTCAAAGATACGGTGGCTTTAGAATTTTTTTCCCAAGGCAGAATTTATTTAGTAGAGAAATATAAACATTTTTCCTTTAGTGAACTGAAGTTCCAAATTCTAGGTTTGAAAAGCTATTTGGCTTTATGTTATGTATTTTAGGAAATATATCAGATACACAGGGTGGAGCAAAAGCAGGTTTACAGTTGTGAGTACATGAAGCACAGTTTATTCTTGCATTATTATTTATTAATTACTGAATTCTTTTCCATACAAACAGCTACCTGTAAGCCTACTTTTGTCCTATCCTGTACGTTTTCTCTAATTTATTACAAGTAACAAATTCCTTATTTTTAAACTTAGTCTTTTATTCCCCATGAAAGTTATTAAAGTGTAAACTTGCCTAGAGCAAAATATTTATTTGAGGATATTTATTACAATAAATAAGTATCCTTTGAAAGCTGCAAGTTAAACATTAACTCTCTTCCAACTTTGTTGGGCTCAAATCTTTGTGTTGCTGTGTCTTCCACGAGAACTGCTACTTGGAAATTAAGAGTGTCTAAGAAATCTTTGAAGTACATTTGGTACAAAATATGTGAAGTTATTTGATCATGCTTTGCATTGCCTTGTTGAGAAGACAAGGACATAGGGAAAGTTTTTTAAAAGTTAAGATTATATAGATTATAAATGCCTTGAAGTGTTTTTAACTGGTAGATTCTAAACATCTTTATTTAAGTAGTGTTACTTTCTTAAAACTTGAACTAAAATTACACTACTTTACCCATCACTACCTTGGATTTTAATTGCCACACAACAGACCTATTAAAACTGTTCCTTTTCATTACAATTTCCTCTTGTAATTATTGAAATTGTACAGATTGTATAAAATATGCTTAAGATGATCTCTTCACATTAGATAGCAGTTTCAAGGAGAAACATTTACCAAATAGTACTTTTAAAATAAAAATAATCCTATCAGCTGCAGTTTTTCTGATCTTGCATGTGAATGGATTGCAAGGACTGCTGTACATATTAAAAATAAGCCATTGGACAAAATGTTGAAGAGCTATATTTTAAATAGTAACTCTCTTTCTTATAGCTATAAACAACTTATATATAAATGTTGATGGTACCAAAGCCCTGAAAATAAAACTTGTTTGTGATAGACTCCATCCTCGATTCTGTATCTTAAAATGTAACTGAATGATAATAAAGTGCTATTCATCTGCAGGTGCATTGCTTCTACTTAGTTAAAAGATGGTTGAAAGGACAGGAATTAGTAGCATGTTGTATTAGCCTTTTGTAGTGTATTTTGTCCTAAGCATCTTAATTTCCCTGTTTTGAATGCTAAGTAGCAAGGGTCTTGGTTTAGAACTAACACCCATCACGCATGTAAACGGTATGAAAGAGCTGCTTAGTAAGTTAACACAAAGTGTTCTTGTGTCAGTCCTTGTGGAAATAGATACAATACAAACATTACAGCTGAACTCACGGCAAACTCCATTAAGTAAAAACCTGGCCTCATTGTTCAGGAAAAAGTTTGAATAGATTGCAAGCTCATTTTGTTGAATGTAATGTCAGGCTTTTAGGGACTGTATTGAGGGATAAGGTTTTGTTAAGTTGAGACCAATTCATTAAGTTTTATTGCCTGGTGAGAAGCAGTAATACTTTATTGTAAGACTTCATCAAATATTCATGGTTAAAGAGAAGTAGTAAATGTATTCAATCAAGTGGTCTTTTGGGGTTTTGAAAAGGATTATGAAGTCTGCTCAGCTGATAGTTTTAACATTCATTGAGGTTGTTTAACAAGGGTAATTTTAATCTGTGAGTTTAATTTTGTTGTCCAGGCTTGTCTCTTTTTACTGTCACAAATCCAAGTCCACAAGAATTATGTTACATTATAGGGACAAGTGGATATTATATCTATTCATACAGTTTATCTGTTTCGTAAGGGGGCATATTTTAAAAATTATCTTAATTTTGAGTTTAGAGTGTGAGGGAGTTTTGACCTGTATGCTTGTTCATTGTGAGGTTGCTATTCCTTTGGTCAGGCTGTAGCGTGATGTCACTACTCCTGGTGATCTCTTCGTGTCTTGGACAACATGGTCTCTTTGATGCACATTAAATAATTAGTCTTTTGTTTTGGTCGATTCAGATTGTTCTGAAGGGATAGAGTCAGCATTTTCTACATGATATCAGAAATTTTAATAGCTCTCATTCTTGCACTTGGTTTGAGGCTACCTGCCCCCTCTTCTTTACTTCTGTGTTATGCTTACGCTCATCTCACGTTTGTGTGGCAGTACCCTGTGCGCATGGAACTCCACCCTTTCCAGTTCACCGCATGTTTACTTCTTTAGTTTAACTGTGGCCTGAAGTTTTGTGATCTTTGTAGGTTTTGTTCAATTCAAAGAAATTAAGCACATTCAACTAAAATTCAATTTTTTATTGTTTTCTTATGTCCCTTAACCTCCATTCCCTAGGCAGATGATGTCGAGGGCAAAATTAGACAAATCATCCCACCTGGATTTTGCACAAACACAAATGATTTTCTTTCTTTGCTGGAAAAAGAAGTTGATTTCAAGCCATTTGGAACCTTACTCCATACATACTCTGTTTTAAGTCCAACAGGAGGAGAAAATTTTACCTTTCAGATATACAAGGTAAAAATAAATCTAAATATTTCTTGGGTGTGAAAGGACTCCACATACTGGAAACCTGTGTGCTATTTTGTTGTTATTTTCAGTAATTTATTCTAACTTTAGGAAACAATTTTTTGTCAGCATTAAAAAACAAAGGTCTACTTTGTATGTGTGTTTGTGTACACATCTTAATCTGAGACTTCTAAACATTTTCCCACAGGATTGTTTTGTGTTCTGCACACTTTCACTTACCTCTGTGATGAGTTTCACCTGACTTTTTCTGGCTTTTTCCCTAGGCTGACATGACATGTAGAGGCTTTCGAGAATATCATGAAAGGCTTCAGACCTTTTTGATGTGGTTTATTGAAACTGCTAGCTTTATTGACGTGGATGATGAAAGATGGCACTACTTTCTAGTGTAAGTACAGTTCTAAAGCAACAGTAGACCTTATTACCTCCACAAAGCCACCATTTTAATTGTGGCAGCCCAATTATTGGGACAGTATAATGATATTTTTCCCAGGAAAGGAAAACTATTGTTTATGAGGCTTGAGTTTTCTTTCATTATGCTTTGGGAGACCTTGAGAATAGAGCTGAATTAAATGCTGTTGTCCGTTAGGCCCCTGAATGTAGGCTTAAACAGTAAAATGAGCTTTGCCTGTGTTTTCTTTTACTTGCCACCTATTCATCTTTATAATAGGCAAGTGCACTGAAGTGATGTAAAGAGGTCTGATTTATCCAAGTTGCTGCACACCAATTAAGTGAATTGTACATTCAGAACATAGCAGGTGTACCCATTGGGTCCTCAAAGAGTAGCTTGCTGACACTGAAAATTCAGTCAGAGAATGGAAAAGAAAATGGACACTGCATGGGAGCGTGACTGTAATTGACCTGCTTGGCTTTCTGTTTTATCTGCAGATTTGAGAAGTATAATAAGGATGGAGCTACACTCTTTGCGACCGTAGGCTACATGACAGTCTATAATTACTATGTGTACCCAGACAAAACCCGGCCACGTGTAAGGTAATTGGCAGTATAACACGTGCCTTGTCTTTTATTTCAGAAGAAGGAACTGCCGAAGTTTCCAATACTTGTTATAATAGTGTTGATTTGTTTAGGAAAAAAATCACCATTATTCATTGGCTATGTACTGACTTATTTCATTGTTTCCTTGGAAACAGTGAAGAAAATTAAGCCAGTGTGGAGTATCTCAGTGATTTCTGGGTTTTTTGACAGTTGATAGGGGAAAAAAGGAACATAGACTTGAAAATGTTTATAATACTCTAGTGATTTGCAATTTTTAAACTGGTCATTTTGTGATATTTTAATTTTAAAATAATTTCTTTAGTCAGATGCTGATACTGACTCCATTTCAAGGTCAAGGCCATGGTGCTCAACTTCTTGAAACAGTTCATAGATACTACATGGCATCTCCTTCTGTTCTTGATATTACGGGTATGTAGAATTTGATTTGTTACTTAAAGAGCCTTTCTGAAAAATCTTTATTGATTGATTTTTTGTGTGTTTTGTGAGAGATAACTATTCTGTTTTAAACAGCTTTGTCCTTGGGTCTTTTTGGAACTGTCTCAGGATGGCTTAAGGTTCCATTTTAAGTCATAAGCTTTTGTGGGATTGGACTGCATCTCTATGTGTGAAGTGTTTATTAAACAAATTGAAGATAATGAACTGAATAAATATTAGGAATTCTTGGTCAGGCATGAATATGCCAGTATGGTATGACTTAATTTGTTCATTTTATTTAGCAAACAGTTGCATTGCTCAGAGACCATGCTCTGATTTTCATGTAGGGGCATAATATTCTAAACCTTACTGAGGAAAAAACGCCAAGGTAAGTAGTTCCAGAATAGAATACACATTTCTTAAAGCTGAGTTTTATATTCCTGAAATGTGTGCTTTCTCAAAAGTAGTTTATAGGGTGAAATGTAGGCTTATTTATTTTAAAAAGATCTTTCAGTGTGAATTAGCCATGGAAGTAATATTATGAAGGGAATGCTTAGAAGAAGGAAAGAGACTCTATTCTTTAATTGGAGAAGTCATCAGCCCTGACCAGTGTGTCTTGGATGGATGTCAATCCAGCAAAGCAAAAGCTGGATGGTTTGATTCCCAGTTCAGGGCACATGCCTAGGTTGTGGGTTTGGTTCCTGGTCAGGATGAATGCAAGAGGCAACCAATCCATGTTTCTCTCACACATTGATATTCCTCACCCTTTCTTTCTCCTTTCCTTCCCCTCTCTCTTTAAAGGAAAAAAAAAAAAAAGAAAGAAAATTAACATTTTTTTTAACAAATCAGCAGTCATCAGGTGAACTGCAACACAATACTCACAAAATGTTAACTTAATAAAAATGCTATTTTTGAATTTTATCAGTTTGTTTAAAGACATCAAAAGATATACTGGATGTGGGACTAAAGAATATAAATAGGGTAGTAGGCAGATTATAGTGTCTTCCTTTTTCATGTAATATAGTGGTTTTGCTTGTCCAGGCTAAATAAAGTTAAAGTTACCCAAAAACAGATTTTGAAGTGATCCTATAGATCAGTAAGTTAGAGGGAAAGCATGTTGTTTTTAAAAGGGAGTTCCATGTTTGTGGAGTTGAATTATATTTTTTCTGACTTTCCTATTACTGTAAAATAGTTTGGAAGCTTCAGAGATAAAGCAGTCATTACTAGAGTTTATATCAAAAGTGTTTTTTGACATCTTCACTAGCTTAGTGACTTGTAAAATTATAGAAACATAATACAAACACTTCTTTTAAGGTAAGCTGAAAATTGTTTAGCTTCTGTTCACTTACAGAGCTTGGATTTTTTTTTGGTGATTTTAATCTGGAGATTTAGAGTTCACATAAGTAGTCTTTGTCTTCTCTAGTGGATAGTGTGTCCGCAGGGCTTGTTTCTGTGAAGCCTTTTAACCACTTTCTTCTGTCTGCCCCAACCAATAAAGTCCTTGATACTTAGGACCAATTAGCAGATAAAGAATTTTATTTCTTAAATCTCAGTGAAGAGTCATCAATAATGGTAGCCTTCATTCATTGCAAACTGAAGTCTTTAAAGAGAAAAGGCTAAATGCTAAACATGCTAAAGGACTTCTGAATTTGAAAACTGGGGTATCAGCCTTTACTTACAGAATGAACATTTCTCAGCATTATAAAATACTCAAAATGCCCTATATCAGCTCTTCTCATTAAGATATTTCTCCTAGGTTCCATACCTACTCCTTTTAAAAAGTAGAATTTTCTACTCTTCAGTCATTTCAATAACCTGTTTCTCCATTATTTTGTAAATTTTTCTTAACTTTGTGGGGTTTTAGCAGGCTTCAGATCTCCCTTTGCAATTCAGGGTATTGTTTGTATTGAGATGGTTTTTGACATAGAGCCAGATATAGTGATCATTAAAACTCACCATTGGTGGCCTATGTTACAGGATACATGGTATTTGTGGTGTAATTGCCACCTGTTTTCTTCTGTTTTTTTTAGCACTTAATTTTAAAACACAATACTAGAAAACAGTTCTGTATATCATGTACCATCTTCCTTTTGAGGATGTCAGTATCTAAAGGTATATAGCATTTGAATACATCTCAGTTGTGTGACTTTATAGATAGAATCAATGATTTGTTTCTTCCAGGATCATGACTTGACAACAGAAACGTTTGCATATGCCTTGTGGGCATACCTAGGAGTAGGAATTACGGAGAATGTGGTAACTATGTTTCACCTTTTGAGGAACTCTACCACATTATTTTCCAAAGTGGCTGTATCATTTTACATGTCCACCAGGAATGTATGAGGTTTCAGTTCTCCGCACCATCATCAATACTTGTTCTCTTTTTTATTCTAGTCATTCTGGTGGACATGAAATGGTCTTTCATTTTATTTTGATTTCATTTTCCTGTGGCTAATGATGTTAAGTGTCTTTTTGTGTCCACTTGTATATCTTCTTGAGAACTGTGTACATGGATCCTTTGCCCATTTTAAAAACTGGGTTGTCTTACTGAATTATAAAAGTTTTTTATATAAGAAGTCTGGATACAAGTCTCATAAATATTACTTGCAAATACTTTTCCCATTGCACAGTTTATCTTTTCATCTTAGTGGTATCATTTGAAGAACAAGAGTTTAAAATATTTATAATAGCCCAATTTATTTATTTTTTTCTTTTTGTTGCTCGTGTTTTTGGTTCTGTTATCTAAGAAACTATTGCCTAACCAGAAGTCTTGAAGATTTACTCCTGTGTTTTCTTCTAAGAGTTCTTGTAGTTTTACCTTTTACATTTAGGCCTATACTCCATTTTGAGTGTGTTTTTGTATATGGTGTGAGGGAAGGGGGTCCAACCTCATTCTTTGGTTTGTGGTGATCCCTTTGTCTGAGAATCACTTGTTAAGAGACTATTCTTTCCTTCATCAAATTGTCTGGACTACGAATGTATGGGTTTATTTTTAACTGTCAATTCAATTCCTTGATCTACATGTCTATCCTTATCCACACCAATTTCATTACTGTTGTACTAAGTTTTGAAATTAAGAAATGTGAGTCTTCTAATTTTGGTTCTTTCTCAAGTTTGTATTAGCTATTCTGGATTCCTTGCATAGCCATATGAATTTTAGGATGAGTTTGTTAATTTCTGAAACAAACAAAAAAGCCAGCTGGGATTTTGAAAGGGATTGCATTGAGTAATTTGTACAGTATTATTGATATTGTAACAATGTTAAGTGTTGTGAGCTATGAATTAGCTCAGATTTTAACATTCTGTGCTTCAAAGCCCTCTACTGATCAGAAAATGAAGGCTTTAGAGAGTGAATTGACTTGTCCAAGATGGGATGCAAACCCATGCTCTCTGATTGTGCAGTATTCTTTTACCCATCATGTTTTGATGTTTTCCTTGTCCACTACTTAGTCTAATGTGAATAACATAGACAAACAAAAAGTAAGATTTATGCTATTCAGATGCAGTGAAAAAAGGATCAGAACCATATTCTCATTTTTCTAAATAAAGCTTTGTTTTTGCATAAGAAAGAATTGTTTTAAATTAAGTGAAAGAAGTATAGCAGACTGTAAAGGCTATTGAATTAAAGTAAGGAAGTTATATAAATTGAGCTTTGGAATCCTAAGAAATCAGAAAATATTCAAAACTGAAATTGATTATCCAAAACAGAATCTCTTGTTTAAACAGCTACTTTAATTGAAAATAAAACTAAATACGTCAGTCAAAAAATTTACATTTGAAAGGAGTCCCTCTAATTTCACAAATAACATATAAGGTCTGTCCAGAAAGCATCCAGCCATGTACTATGAAAAAGATATTTATTGAAGAAGTTACAAGAAACTTCATACATAGGACAATGATGCCTCAGTCCCCTTTAAAGTAGGCACCTTGGGATCTCACACAGTTCTCCCAGCATCTCTTCCAGTGTTCAAATCACTATGCAAAATCCTTTGTTGGAATCACCATCAGCTACCCCATCATATTTTCCTGAACCTCATTGATGGTCTGAAATCTCTTCCCTTTCAAAGATGATTTTAGTTTTGGGAAAGGCCGGAAGTCACAGGGTGCCAAATCTAGGCTATAGGGGGCTGAGTCACTTGGGTGATTTGATGTTTTGCCAAAAAATTCTGCACAAGATGTGATGCATAAGCAGGCATGTTGTCATGATGAAGCTGCCAATCACCAGTAGCCAATAGCTGTGGTCATTTTCGTAATACTGTATCTCTCAAGTGACAGAGAACATTGAGATAGTACTCCTCATTAATTGTTTGGCTTGGAGGCATGTACTCTTGATGGACAACATCTTCCCAGTCAAAAAACAGAGTTAACATGATCTGATCTTACTGTGACTTTGCTGTACCTTCCTCAGGCCTAGAGAACCAGGCAACTTCTATTGGGATAATGGGGCCTTTGTTTCAGGACCCCATAGCGTTAGACCCCCAATTCATCTCCAGTTTAAGACCTTTTTGAGGAAATCTGGTTCATTGGTAGCAGTTTGAATCAAGTCATTGGGAACTGGAGCATGGTATTCCTTCTGCTTTGATAGCAGAAGCTGTGGAGTGAATTTTGCCATGCCACATTTCATGCCAAGATCCTGTGTCAATATCTCAGACTTAGTAGCTTTTGGAATCCCCAGATCACCTTCTAGTTCCTGCATTGTTAGTCACCAACCTGTGGATTGCCGCCTGTGTTTAACATTCTCAGGTATTCTTGTTGCAGGCCTTCCAGAACAAGGATCGCTTTCAACAGATTCTCAACCATCTTTGAAGCATTTGTGCCACACTTTTATTTGCATTGTACTCATTGCATCATCCCCGAAAGCCTTTTGAATCATTCAAATACTTTCTGCAGAGGAATGTTCAAGCTTAATGCAAAATTTCATGCAGATTCATTGCTCTACTTGCTCAATCATTTTGAATGCAACCACCACACAGTACACATACATGCTCACTTAACAGTGTCTACTGCCCCCACTGACTAGTACAGTGAAGTCATCATTGTTCACACATGTGCATTCCAATCCACTCTCCTTGGCTGCCAGGTTACACATTTGTCATGCAAACTGTTCTGATTATGCTAACAACAGCTGAACATTTTCTGGACAGACCTCAGATGTCTTTGCAAAAAGGATTGCACCTAAAACTTTATTTGGCGAAGTTAATAGTATTCGATTTGTAAGGGATAATCCTTTCTCATTGTAACTTTTGTAAAATTGTTTTAAGAAAATTTGCCTTTCTAGCCTAGCATGTGTATTGAGATTACAAGTGGTAAAAAATACTGTGTTGGGTAAAGGAAGTTATTTTGCTTTATTTCTTTAGCGGAAGATCCATCCAAAAGCTATGTGAAATTAAGAGACTTTGTACTTGTGAAGCTTTGTCAAGATTTGCCTTGCTTTTCCCGGGAAAAGTTAATGCAAGGATTCAATGAAGATATGGCAATAGAGGCACAACAGAAGTTCAAAATAAATAAGGTATTTAAGTACATAACTTAAATATTGCAAATACATTAAGAATACATGTGTGGGAAATAATAATTAAAAATACAGGCTGTGAAGCCAGATTGCCTCAGTTCAGATCTGGCTATACCACTTGCTCTGTGACTTAGGGCAATTTAGTTTACCTCCTGTGCCTCAATTTCCTCATTAATGAAATGGGAAGATAATTGATATTAAGTGTAACATGCAGAACACAGATGGGTAGTAGGATTTAATTTTGCTTTTTAAGAAAATCTTTCTCAAAACTGGTAAAGTAGATAATATTCCCGGAGACAGTGGTATTGGCAGGGAGAAGGGTTGAAATAAAACACTTAACTTTCACTTTATATTTACTTCACCTGTAAAGTAGTAAATGCCTTTTATTAAAGTTTATTTTATTTTTAGAGGGGAAAGGAGGGAGAAGGAGGGAAAAATCAATGTGTGGTTTCCTCTTGTGTGCCACCTACTGGGGAACTGGCCCACAACCCAGGTATGTGCCCTGACTGGGAATTGAACTGGCAACCCTGTGGTTTGCAGGCTGGCGCTCAGTCCACTGAGCCACACTGGCCAGGACTACAGTACTAATATCTTAAGATAGGTAAAGAAAAATTAGCTTGGGAGTTGAGAGGAGGGAATTGATTGTTTTTACATAAACAATGGAATTAAGAATATTTCAGGTTTGTGTTGGGTAGGATTTAGATAATGAAAGTATGTGGAATGAAGAGTTTCCCATAATACAAACTAACATTTGATACTATTGAGCTACCCTCCCTTGTCTTCTAAGGCACTACAGTTCCTGATTTTCTACTTAACCACTGTGATCTTTTTTAATTGGAAAAATTTTAATTAATAAGCATCAAATGCACTTTACATTACAACTGCAATATTGAAACTGTGACATTTTAAGTATTTTTAAAAAGATTTTATTTACTTATTTTTAGAGAGGGAAGGGGAGGAAGAAAGGGAGAGAAATATCAGTGTGTGGTTGCCTCTTTCGTGTTCCCTACTCAGGACCCAGCCCACAACCCAGGCATGTGCCCTGACTGGGAATTGAACTGGTGACCTTTTGCTTTGCAGTCCAGTGCTCCATTCACTGAGCCACACCAGTCAGGGCACATTTTAAATACTTTTTTCAAAAAAGGTTAGTCATTTTCTTTTTCCTGGGAAACATGAAGATCCAGCTATGAGCATTAATGTGGCCAGTGTAGGTCATTATGGTTTAGTTAATGCTAATATCTAAACAGGTGTTAACGTTTCACATCGACAATAAAGCAGACTGAATTTTTCCATCCTTGAATTTTAGCAAAAATTCCCTGAGGTAATTTAAAGGAATGTCAAATTTTTGAGGTGCAAACTCCTAAACTCCACATTAGGATCTCATTTTTGTTTGAAGTGCCTCTGAGTTGAGAATGTAGGTGATTTATCTTTCCTAATCCTTGGGAAAGTATTTCTGCAGTAAGTCTTGGGTCTTCTTTACAGTTGACTGGGTTGTTTTTAGGGAAGATTACCAGCTCTGCGGTTAGTTTCCCACAGTTGATAAAAATCTATCAAAAACATCATATAATTTAAGGAAAAGGTTGTTGTTTAAAGGCTGCAGAAATAGGAAAGAAGTAACACTTTCATCTGTATAAGCACAAATACTTAAAGCTAATCATACTGCAAGTAAATCTAATATAAAATGTTCTATAAAAACAAACAAAAAATACGTGCTTACTTCCATTGCTCCAATAGTCAAACATTAGACCTGCATGAGAATTGCATGGTAGCAGTTTGCTGGTTCATTCTGAGTTCGAAGTCCTTTTTGTGTAATTTTGGTCCAATGTTCACATCCCAGAGAAATTCGGTTCAAAAATTGAAATTAAGGCAAAAGACTCCATATAATAAAGCATAAGGATATGCTACTAATCGTTGCTATTCTTCCTTGGCTCATGCAGAAATGAAAATTTTGGAAGCAGAAAAAATATACCATCCAATAATTCTAGCAGTGAGAATGATACCTACCATTTCTTGCAAACAAAATATCACTAAAAGCTGGAAAATAGGGTCATGGGAAGAAGACAATATCCAAGGACACTTGCCACACAACCAAGTGAAACACCTGTCATACTGGTTAAGTTTAATAAACAAAATATTCCTGGACAACCAATTGCACTAATCCCAATACATGGGCAAACTGGATTTTGCTAGCCAGTAACAGCATGGTTCCAAAGGCAGAATGTAAAACCATGGGTCTTGCCAGATTAGTCACATTCATGATGCTGCCATCTGCTACATTATTATTGTTGTCGTTATTATTACTGATTTTAGAGAGAAACATTGATTTGTTGTTCCACTTACTAATGCATTTATTGGTTGATTCTTTTTTTTTTTTAAATATAAATTTTATTTAGTTACTTTTCTATTGGTTGATTCTTGAATGTGCCCTGACTAGGGACTGAACCTACAATCTTGGCATATTAAGACAATGCTCTAACCAACTGAAGTACCTGGCCAGGGCCATCTGCTACTTTTAATGGATGTAACATTGTTACTGGTTTTTCCAGATGTGGTCAAAATTGATACCCAGTTCTTCTAATAATGGTGGCTCATCCTCAAAGTTGTTTTCATAGAATGGCTGAGGTATAGTTGGAATATATGCCTGAGTGGGCTGGAAAATCTGTCCGGTGTGTGGCTGTTGTGGCTACATCATGTCTAGAGGGACAGATTGGCTTGATGCATGTAGTCATATCCAACATACTGTTTACTGTACGGTCGTCCACTTCCTCCCCAGTTAGAGGACTGCTGTGATTGGTAATCAGTGTTGTAACTTGGTAGAAATTCATGTTTTAGTTGTCAGAGTGTGACACTGAAAATGATCAGCCTCAGTGAAAATGATCAGCCTCAGAGGTGGTAGGGGCAGTAATTCCAGTAGCACCAGATAATCCTGGAACTCCCTGATCATCTATTTTGAGATACTTTCACTAGCTTCTACTCTTCTGTATGCTTCCTAAATATAAGTTCTTTATTCAGTTCTCATTCCTTTCATTCTGCTTTTTCTGCCTAGGAGATCTCATCTAAATCCTCAATCCATAGTTTCCTCCTGAGCTCCAAAACTATGCCAAAAGTTTCCTGATCACTGACCCAAACAGCTTAATATGAACTCAAACTTTCTATCTTCACCTGCATTAAAACACTGTAATGGCTTCCTGGCTTTAGATAAAATATGTTTTAGAAATAACTGTTATCTCCAGACTGTTTTAAACCTTTATTAATGAGAATAACTCATCTTTTTATTTACTTATTTAATCCTTATCTGAGGATATACTTATTGATTTTAGGAAAAGAGGGAGGGAGGAAGAGAACATTGATATGAGAGGGAAACAGTTGATTGGTTCCCTCTCCTAGCACCCCAACCAGGGATCAAAATCACAACCTTTTGGTGTATGGGATGATGCTCTAACCAACTAAGCCACCTGGCCAGGACATAATAACTCAGATTGTAAAGGAAAAGGAATATGAACATATTTTTTTTAATCTTTCTTTTTGGAGCCCATCATAATCATGGCCCTGCTGCCTACCTTGCCAGCCTCAGCTCACTACCACTTTCCTACATGCTCTGGCTTTACTGAACCTCTTGCTATTTCCCAGCTATGCTGCATCTTCTTCCTTTTCTGTTCCTTTACATATGTGTACTATTCCCTTTGTAACCCCTTCTCCTGTTCCTCCATCTTTCCCTAGCCAGATAGTACTCATTTTTCAGGCTCAGCCCAGGTGTCCCTTTCAAGACAGTTCAAATATCATCTTCCCAGCCTACCTATACCCAGTCTCTCTCCCACCCCCAATAAATATGTAAGTGAAACAACACAAAAACAACTGTGGGCTACTCCTTTGGCTTCAGGGATACAAGCTTCCTAATTCTAGTATTTCTCTGTCCTCTGCCTGCCCTTTAACTGTCACTGCACTATAGGGTTTGACCTCTCCCTTTTTCGTTGTGTGTGCTTTCCCTGGATGATCTTAATCAGGCTTACAATTTTAACTCTTGCCTGTGTACTGATACTGCTTAAGTGCACACCTTTAGACTAGAATTCTTTTCAGATATATGTTCTTCTGCCTTGTAAATCTCTTACTGTGAAAATTCACTGCCATTCCACACCCTCCTCCATAGCCAATCCTTCCTCTTCTGTATTTTTAGAATCCTTGTTCCTTTAGTATTTTTACTTGTGTTGTCTCAGTTCACGCCCTCATTATTTCTTGCCTTATTTAATAGTGCAGCTTCCTAATTGGTCTGCCTGTTTTTCTTTTTGCTACCATTTCTATGTAGCTGAGAGAATGCTTTACTTAAAACTTAAATTTGCACACTTTGCTCACTTCCCCGTTTCTGTCATCTACTAGAGAAGAGCCCGGCTCTTTAGCACAGTATGTAAGGCTCTGTGCTCTTGCTCCAACCTCATTCTACTTCCACACCTTGCTTTTCATTTTGTGCTCCAGCACTGTCCAGCTCTTTCTGTTTTGCAGGTGTGCACATGCGTGTGTGTGCATACACACACTGTGCCCTCCTTTCTGGAATGGCATGCTCCCTTCAAGATTTAGCTCACGATTCCCCCAGGAATCCTTTTCTAACATTTCTCCCATTCCCAGGTTATGTGACCATAATACCTTATGCATATTCCTGTCATTAAATTAATTATACCTCAACAATTTGTGTTACCCAGTAGACCGCTACCTCCTTGAAGGCAGAGACTTGTCTTTTATTGCTTTTGATCTGGTACCTGGCACAGTTCCTGGACCATAACATATAGTCAGTAGATCCTGTGTTCTTTTGGGAAAGTGTCACTATTTGTACTATAAAAAGTTTATCAATTTTTTGTTTTGTTTATTAGCAACATGCTAGACGGGTTTATGAAATTCTTCGACTACTGGTAACTGACATGAGTGATGCTGAACAATACAGAAGCTACAGACTGGATATTAAAAGAAGACTAATTAGCCCATACAAGGTAGGACTTTCAAGAGTCTTAACTGTTATATTTTTGTCCCTGTTTCAGATGGAAAAGAAAGTCTAGCAAATACCAGTGTCTGGGAAAATCCAAATCATTTTGCTAAATTAAGTTTTACAAAAGGGAAAATATTCCTCCAATTAGAAGAATTCTGTCATAATTTTCCAGTGTAAGCTGTAAATCTCCTTTCATTCACTTAAAAACTAACCCCAAGGGCAGTCTACCCATGGTTGTTTTTTTTCTTCGATTTGTATGCATCTTTTTAAAAATGTTCAGACTCTTCCCTAATAAATTATCTTTAGTTTTTTCTAAGTCTCTTGTCTTCCTATTTATCATATACAAGAGAGGACCCTCCAAAAAAATGAATTCTCTTCTGGATGGCCGGCCCCTTGTAGTACAGGCTTCAGCTACTAAATGAGTATTCTAGGAACCAATCCATATCAGTGTACTAGCTGGCATTGTTGTGAGAGGCTGCATTCGGTTTCCGTGCATTTTTTCTAAAGACTCTTAGAACGTGTTTGTCCATTTTAAGATGGGTGATTTACAAGTGCACCTGCCCGCACCGTGGTGAGTGTTCAGTAGTCTTTGACCAAAAACAGCAGGAATCCCATGCCTGCCTCTGTGCCCTACCCTCTTTATTCACCTGATCTCAACCCAAGCAACTTTTTTGTTTCCCTGGATGAAAAAATTCCTCAAAGAAAAATGTTTTGCTGATGTGGAAGAGGTGAAACAAAAAATGACATCAAAATCAACAAGTTCAGAAACTGTTTTGAGCTCTGAAGTTTAAACATGTAAGAATAAATACACAATTTTTTATAAACAAATTCCAGGGTTTTTTTGGGTCCTTCCTCGTGTATTTTGTTTGCCTTCCTATATGTATAGTCTTTGTACCATTTATAACTCTATACTGTACCCCAGCTGAACTTGCAACTTAGTATTATTTATTCTTTTTTTCAAACATTCTTTCATCTTGCTCCTTTCTTTTTTTTTTTTTTGTCATCTCCAGTATTTTCCTCTTACTCAAATATTTCCCCTCCTAAATCAGGTTTGGCCATTATTAAGGTAGCTATTATCTATGCCAACTTGTGTGAATGAGGGTTTTTTCTTTTTTTAATTTTTATTTTTGTTTATTTTTAGAGAGAGGGAAAGGGAAGGAGAAAGGGAGATAAACATCAGTGTGTGAGAGATACATTGATCTATTGCCTCTGGCACACCCCCAACTGGGGGCCTGGTCCGCAACCCAGGCCTGTGCCCCGACTGGAAATAGAACCAGGGACTCCTTAGTTTGTAGGCTGGCACTCAATCCACTGAGCCACATAAGCCAGGGATTTGGGGTTGGTTTTTTTTTTAAGATTTTATTTATTTATTTTTAGAGAGAGAAGAAGGGTGGGAGAAAGAAAGGGAGAGAAAGATTGATGTGTGATTGGTTGGCTCACATGCCCCCAACTGGTGACCTGGCCTGCAACCCAGGTATTTGCCCTGACTGGGAATCAAACCAGTGACCATTTTTTGATGTGCAGTCTGGTGCTCAATCCACTGAACCACACCAGGCAGGGCAGGGGATTTCTTAATAGTCGTAGCAGAGCAGTAAGCTGATTAGGGAGGGAGAATATTTGTTAATTTAGTGAACAAATAATTATTGAGCACCTGCCATGTGGTTGCTGCTTTTATGTACACTATACCTACAAGCTTATGTAGCACAAGAACTGAGACATAAATGACAAATTTGAATGTCTTAATATTTAAGTAGAAAGTTAATTTTAAATAACTAATGAGTAATAAGTCAAGTAAACTTAGTTTTGATTTTTCTACATTAATTCAAGTTCTGTTCTGCTTTATGGAGCTAATATTTTGAATGTTGAATGTTGATGGTGTGTCGGGTAACACTATTCCTTACTGAATCCCAACTGTTCTCTTTTATAGCATCATGTTACTCTTCAGTGCAACTGTATTTCCTAATTTGTCATTTAATTCTGTTCAAACATATCACATTTTGAATATAAAAATGTAAAAATAACTTACAAAATAATCATTGCATCTTGAATTCATATATATATGTAGTTCTTCATAGAGTCATTTTATAAGCATTTCAGTAGATTAATTTTTTATATTATGATCTTCATATAACAGGTCATGATAAATTATAATGGTCTCTCCTCCCAAAAATTTCTGAAGTAGCATTTTATTCTTTGATGTTAATCTCTTCAGAAGTATCAGAATATTGGTAGAAATAGTATTTTCCAAAGGTTTTGATCTTTAAATAATAATAAATTTTTGGCTAGAAGTTTTCTTTATGATGAAATTTGGGTATAATTAGATGTTATTGTGACAACATTTAAGAGTTAAAACTGTTTTTAGGCCCTGGCTGGTATAGCTCAGTGGATTGAGCACTGGCCTGTGAACCACACGATCACGGTTTGATTCCCAGTCAGGTCACAGGCCTGGGTTGCAGGCCAGTTCCCAGCAGGGGACTCACAAGAGGCAACCATACATTGATATTTCTCTCCTTCCCTTCCCCTCTAAAGATAAATAAATAAAAACTTTTAAAAAACTGTTTTTTAGTAGTAAAATAATTTATTGAATTAAATACCTGAGATATTTATGTGACATTTTACATAGGCAGACTAAGAAATGGTGGATGATGAATTCTGAGTGTAAATAGTATTCACAAAGTTATGCCAAATAATGGGAACTTTTAGAGTTCATAGAAGAAGTATTTTCTACTCTAAAGAATGATGATGACTTTTTATATTAAGCATCCCCACCTATCCAGCAACTTCATCTACCTGAAATACAGTAAAAAACTGGTTATTAAACTCTTCAGATTCTTTACAGCCAAAATAGTTAACACTGTCCTTTCACTAAAGTTCCTACGCAGTTACAAATTCTTTAGATTCTTGTTCAAACCCTACTTATAGAAAAGTACTTTTGAATAAATTTAGTTATTTAGTAATTTTACCCCATTGGGAAAACCAAGAAAGCCTGAGGGTCCCCCTCCGCCCTCTGGTTTGAAGGCCACAATGTTTATGGTAGGAAACCTCCCATGAACTGTGGGGACGCCTAGAAACTGAGTTTGGTGTCCTGGAGGCATGGGGGGCGGGTAAGATTTCCTTGTTGAATGTGTGCAGATGATTTTCTCCAGTTTGTCATTCCAAGCTGATGTTCATGTACTTTGTTATCACAGAATTTTCAAATGCAGAATTACATTTAAGGATGAAGTAAAATTGCCAACTATTGAATGTGGTTTAGATTTTTTTTTAGGTCCTCTAAAATGTATGCCTGCCTAATGGAGAAAGTTTGGAGTGTAAATTTACATTTTTACTTTAATGTATTGTATGAAAAGAAATTATAATTTTGATTGTAAGTTAGTACTGAGGTATGAAATTATTTATTTATTGATAATAAAATTCATTGATTATGTGCTAACTTTATTTCAGAGATCAAGTTTACATATCAGCTTAATTACACTATCCAGCTAAAAAAATTTAAATAGACATTAGACGTATTTGTACCTACTTTAAAAGTTCTTTAAACAATGTAATTCATTTGGATCTGTGCCAAGAAGATATAAAAATAACCCGTATTAACTAGAATCATTTTTTAAAGTACACAGAAACACCTCCCATCTTTAGAGCAGAAATAATTTTCAGGTGTTCAAGAAAAGGTGCATTTGAACAGTTTAATCAAAAAAAGGAAAAACTGGTGCAGCTGCTTGGTTTTAGCATTAAACCTTTTATATTGTTTCATAGGCATATTTTAATTCTTAATTAGTTTACAAACATAAAATTTAGAATCAGTGTTATTTTTATTTTTTTTTAATTTATTTATTTTTCAAGTACAGTTTTTTGTCTATTTTTCCCATCCCAGCCTCCCCTGCCCCTTGCTCCCCACCTCCCTCCCATTTCCTCCCCCCCCTTAGTTCTCGTCCCTGTGTCCTTCCTATTTGTTCCTCCAAATCCCTCCCCCTTTTTCCCCTTAACTTCCCTTCCTTCTCCCCTCTTGTCACTATCCCCTTGTTCTCTATTTCAGTGTCTTTGTTTTTTGGGGGTTTTTTTTTTCTGCTTACTTGTTTGTTTTGTTGTTTAGCTTCCTGTTAAAGGTGAGATCATATGGTATTTGTCTTTCAGCACCTGGCCTATTTCACTCAGCATAATGCTTTCCAGTTCCATCCATGTTGTTGCAAAGGGTAGTAGCTCCTTCTTTCTCTCTGCAGCATAGAATTCCATTGTGTATATGTACCACAATTTTTGGATCCATTCATTTACTGATGGGCACCTAGGTTGCTTCCAACTCTTGGCTATTGTAAATTGTGCTGCTATGAACATTGTGGTGCATAGGTTCTTTGATATTGATGTTTTAGGATTCTTAGGATATAATCCTAGCAGTGGAATTGCTGGGTCAAAAGGCAGGTCGATTTTTATTTTTCTGAGAAAAATCCATACTGTTTTCCATAATGGTTGTACCAGTCTGCACTCCCACCAACAGTGAACTAAGGACCCCGTTTCCCCACACCCCCTCCAACATTTGTTGTTTGTTGCTTTGTTTATGATAGCCATCCTGACTGGTGTAAAGTGGTATCTCATTGTGGTTTTAATTTGCATCTCTCTGATAGCTAACGATATTGAGCATTTCTTCATGTGTCTCTGAATGTTCTGTATGTCCTCCTTGGAGAAGTGTTTGTTCAAGTCCTTTTCCCATTTTCTAATTGGGTTGGGTGTCTTCTTAGAGTGGAGTCGTGTAAGTTCTTTGTATATTTTAGAGATTAAACCTTTGTCTGAGGTATCATTGGCAAATATGTTTTCCCATACAGTTGGTTGTCTTGCTAATTTAATACTGTTTTCTTTAGCCATGCAGAAGCTTTTTATTTTGATGAGATCCCATTTGTTTATTCTTTCCTTTACATTCCTTGCTCTAGGGGACATATCATTAAAGAAGTTGCTGCGTGAAATATCTGAGATTTTCTTGCCAATGTTCTCCTCTAGGACTTTAATGGTGTTATG